TTGTCCTCTTTTTAAGTCTCTGCCATCCTCTCCCCCAGCTCAGGTCACAGTTCGTAGCAGCATAACACAAAGTCCTCTGTCAGCCAGTGTTCTCTGCTGTGGGGTCAGAGTTCACAGCTCAAGTTCAGTCCGTCCGCAGAATCATGGGAGGGTGCTCACTGTCTTCCTCCAGCCGCAGGGCGCTGGCTTCCTCCTCCAGGCACGCGCCGCCCACGGCGCCCAGCTCGTCCGTGTAGGCTGCAAAGAGAGCGCGGTCACCAGAGCTGGACAGGGCCCTCGGGGCGGCCCGCGCAGACTGCCTTTTACTCCCCCTTGTGACTCAAGAGCTCTCTGCAGCCAGAGGCAGCCCAGGATGCGAAATTCATTTCTGCGGAGCACGGCCTCCCAGGGGACAGGCTGTGCTTTCCTCGGGGGCGGGAGCACGAGTGCGCCTCAAACTAACGTGAGTGCGCAACACGAGCCAGACACTCAGCGCTCCTGCAAAGAGGGGCGCGGGCAGAACGGCGGCAGGCTGATGTTTGGGGTAAGGTAGCTCAGCAGCTGGACAGCCACGGCCAGACCGCCCCCGTCTGCCGGCACGCTGACCAACAGCTCCTGCCACAGCGCGACTCCTCCGGGCCGGGGCCAGGATGGCCCTCAGCCTGAGGCAGGTCAGACAGGCGCAGGGCAAGGCCCCAGCACAGACGCTGGAGAGGCAGCGAGCTGGGGCACAAGTCACGTCCACCCCCAGTTGCCTGAGGTAGGATGATTTTCTTCAGAGGAAGAAAATCGGTTCCGCCTCCAGGGCCTGGACAGCCAGGTGACACCCGCTGCCCGGCCTGAGGGCGTCACTCCCCTGCCCCCCACAAGGGGTGGCCCCTGGAGAGGAAGCAGAGCGCGGGCACCGGGCGGCCCGGCCTCATTACCTCCCAGGTCTGTCACTCAGCCTTACCCAGTCTCGTGGGAGATGCAGGCGCGTGAGTGCCTTTGGCTACGGCGGTGCTGTAGGGCTGAGTTACCAGGGGGCAGTCGTGAGAGGCAGAGTCTAAGATCTCATTGGTTGTCTCCATGCTGCCATCCAACCTGGTGGAAGCGGAGCACACACACAGTGAGGGCCTCGGGCGCAATGGCAGGGCCTGGGGCTGGAGGGCCAGACCTGCGGTGACAGAGGCGAAGGCCACTGCCAGGACACGCATGTGCGCTCGAACACTGCGGGGAGGGGTGCGTTCACTCGGACTTTACATGGAAAGTTTGACAAAAAGACTATGCCCACGGGACCAGCTACTTCATGTGCAGGCTGTGGCCGTAAACAGGAGTCGCTGTAAACAATACTCCCCCCTGCACCCACTCATCAGCACTGCCGTGCTTCTAGGTGACAAACAGCAGCAAAAGCAAAAGACCACAATGCACTGCTTCCCCAGGAACCACACTAACTCCTCTTTTCGAAGAGAAAACCCATCTCACGGTGAGACAGGCCCTCAAACTGCGCCCTGGCTGTGCGGACGGGACGGGCTGTGACACCCCTTTCTTGTGAATGTGAAAGTCTCCGTCTGTCTGTAGCCGGTCCCGAGGGGAGGTGGGAAGCCCCGCCCCCAGGAAGGGTTGGT